TTTGTCAAAACTCAAGTGGGAGAAAGAGGCCTCGCCTGCCTGCCTACTGCCTCCTCCTCCTCCTCCTCCTCCTCACTGAACACCCCCGGCCGACCCTGGGCAGCCGAAGCAGGGAGGTCCAGGACAGTCTTTAGCCCTCAGCAGACAACTAGCTATAGGGACAGCCCCCCACACACATACACCCGCAGCAGCCAGAGCTGCCCCAAGCCGCCCCACCCTGTAACTCCTCAGGAAGAGGGGCTCAGACAGCAGCTACCAGCCCCCCTCCCGCTGCCCTGCAAGACCACAGACCCTCCCTGACCCTCCCTGCCTGTGAGGCCGACTGCTGCCTCCCACGCCAGCCTCTCTCTCTCTCTCTCTCTCTCTCTCTCTCTCTCTCTCTCACACTCACACACACACACACACTTTCCCCCCCCTCTCTCTCCAAGCAGCTAAGCTTCCCTCCGCAGGCGGCAGTGTCTAGGCCTGGACGTCATGGCAGGCCGAAGGCAGCACTCCAGGCAGATCTCAGGATTGGCAGTGGCTCTAAGTGCATAAGGGGCTGCCCTGGGGAGGGGGGAGGGGAGGGGGAGGGGAGGGCATGTCAAAGGCAAGCAAGGGCATCCTGGCAGGGCCTCACCTGGAGGTTGGTGAGCTGCTGCTGCTGGTGGGCAATCGTCTGCTTCACCAAGACGCTTTTGATGCTCTGCTCCATCGCGTATTTTTTGGCCTAGGAGGAGAGAGGGGAGAAACCAAAGTCACAGAGACCAGCAGCTGGCAAAGCTCCAGCTCGAAGCACATGAGACTCAGGGAGAAGGTGGCCCTCCTGCTCACACGCACCCTCCTCCCTCCATCAGCCCCCCCCCCCAATTAGGCCAGGGGGACCATTTTCTATTGTCGTAAAATGCCTTACAATAATTTTATGTCATAGAATGTTTTATAAAATTTGCCAAATTTCAATTCCATGGGAGTTATGGGTCCCACTTTTTGGACCCGTTCTGTTAAGTTAGCCTTGGTTCAAAAATGATTGTCCTATCAAGATTACATGAAGTATTAGTACCGCTTTATAAAACCCTAGGGAGGCCACACCTAGAATACTGCAACCAATTTTGGTCACCGTATCACAAAAAACATGTTGAGACTTTGGAAAAAGTTCAGAGAAGAGCAACTAAGATGATCCAAGACCTGGAGACTAAAACATAGGAAGAACGGCTGGAGGACTTGGGTTTGGCCAGTCTAAAGAAAAGAAGAAATAGGGGAGACAGGATAGCAGCATCCCAGAATCTGAGGGGCTGCCACAAAGAAGAGGAGGGGGCCACATTATTCACAGAAGCTCCAGAGAGAAGGACAGGAAACAATGGTTAGAAACTGACCAAAGAGAGAAGCAACCTGGAATGAAGGAGAAACTTCCTAACAGTGAGGACAATTAACCAGTGGAACAGCTTGCCACCAGAAGTTGTGGGAGCTCCATCACTGGAGGCTTTTAAGAGGCTAGACAGTCACTTGTCTGAAATGGTATAGGTTCTCCTGCTTGAACAGGGGGGATGGACTAGAAGATCTCTAAGGTCCCTTCCAGTTCTGTTCTGTTCTGTTCTGTTCTGTTCTATTCTACTCTGCACCATTTCTCTCAGTTAAGAGGTTTTATGGGAATGTGAGTTTTAGAACCATATAAGGTATGTATTATGTCGTTTTTATCATTGGTGCTGTTCCGACTGTCGGCAACGGAGCCACCCAGAGTTCAATATAAGATGAGCAGCTATATAAACGTTTTAAGTAAATAAATAAAGCTAGTTTCCTAATTTATTTCCACAGTAACATAGGATGGGCCTCACACAGGTGGTCTCCCTGAAGGAACAATCCCTGCCCAGGGATCACTTTCTCCGCTGGAGACCATCTCAGAAAGGACACTCTCGCCCAGCAGGAGCTTGATGGAACCTCTGCAACAAACCTGGGAACAAGATTCTGGGACGGCACTCGCCTTCCCTTCAGCTGCTCCACAAGCCAGCCAGACCAGACCAGAACACTTGCCTGGCTGCTGGGGAGCCACGAAGCTGGAGCTCTGGCCCAGCCTGTAGGGTCCCCTGGGACTGACTCAATGCCCCAAGGAAGCCCAGCAGCACCAATGCAGGAGGGGGGATTGGCCTCCTCTCCTACCAGTGCCCACCAGCTGGTAAAGTAACAGCACTCTCCTCGCCTTGGGCTGCCATGCATCAACCCCAGTTCTGCCATTGGGAGAGGGAGAAACCCCACCCTCCCCGTCACCAACAGCGCGCGTGACTTCATAAACCTTTGGCTGCCTCTCCTCTGAGCTTAAAAAGGACCCTCCCTCACTTTTCCTAGAGGAAATCGACCCCAATCCCCTGGCAAGGTTGGTGATTCTTCATGCACCTTCCCCAGCTGTGTCACTGTTCTTCTCAAGCAAGACTGATCTTGAGTAATAGGAAGAAGTCCGAACACGATCTGATCAGCTGGTCCTTCCTATGGGGTCCGTTTCATTTTCAATACACTTCCTGACGATTCCGACAGGGAATTTAAAACCTTCGCCTCTGTGGGACACTTTTTTACCGGTTCTCTGCTGGGAGTCCAGTATCCTCTGCCTGCCCAGCCCTACTTAACAAGAGGCCAAAGAATTCGGGGCAGGTTTTCCTATGGCGGTCCTCATTCCAGACAGCCCTCCGCCCGGTCAATTTCCTAAGTATTAGTTAAAGCTGCTTTACTCCAGGAAGGGTTTGGTCCCGGCTACTTGGGGGACCTGGAGTGTCCATTCTGAGTTCTGTTTTGGATTTTAGTCCTACGAAGAGAGAGGGGGTGGACGAGTGGGTAATTACATGCAAATATATGTACGCAGAATGTAACTCAACAGCCATCAGCACAAAGCGATGCGCACTTGCCCTAAAAGCACCAACTTTCTTGGCATCCATGCAGCTAGTTTTGGGCTAACTCGTGTTAATGCCCATTAATTTGTTCTGCATCTGTTAGCACCTCACTGATTAGCTGGATGAAATCCCCAAATGTGGCTATAGTCCAGTCGTGTGGAAGGCGGCTGTACATTCCTGGCAGGGCCCTGCCGGGAAAGGAAAAGATCCTTGCCCGTGCTTCTCTCTCTCGCTCGCTCTCTCTCTGGCTATGCCTAGGCTGGATGACCTCGGTCAAGCTGCTCACCTTCTGAAGAGCCTCCTGCTGCTCCGGGGTGAGAGGAGGGAGCCCCAGCTTGGCTGACGTGCTCTGCCCATTTTCCACCTTAACCGTTTCCGTGCCCTGAAATTGGAGAGACACTCATGAAAGCCCACCTGAACAGAGGAGACCCACGCGGAGGGGTCAGGGAGGCCCAGTTTCACTCAGATGGGAGGGGGAGGGAAAGGACCAGCATCGTAGTAAATTCAGAACAATATGATTCTTGATACTTAAATTGAGAAAGCCATTCTCTGGGTCCCTGCCTCTCACCCAATCACTCTCTGCTAGCCGGCTGATGCTTTATGCAGCTGTACAGCATTTCTCAGCTAGTACCTAAGGGGTTGTCCAGATGTTCAGTCATTTCCCACTTATTTAACCCATTGAAAGGAGGAAAAAAGGCACCAGTTGTCCTCATTTACCGACCACAATTGCGACTAGAATACCATCACTGAGTGACAGTCTTTTAGTGAAACTTCACATGGTCACATTGGCCTCACAACTGTAGTCGTTAGGCAAACCACTTGGGGTCATTAAGCACAACCTCCTCACATGACATCCACCCTCCCAACCTGCAACTTCCTGCCGGCTTCCCCACTGATTCTGCTTGCTGGAAGCCTGCTGTGGCAATCACGATACCATTATCATTGTAAAGTGGTTGCAAAGTGCTCAAACTGCGATCATGTTGACTGTGGGAATGTGGCGATAGCTGCAAGTTGGAGGGCCTTTTGTGACCCTACCTCTTCAGGGTCACTGTAGCTCTGAGCAGTTGCTGGATGAGACAGTAAGTGGGGAGTACCTCTATTCCTTGAGATCTGTTTGAATATTAGTAGCTCTGGTTTCTGGTTGGGCTGATCTCTGAGCTTGGCGGTTTGGCTGCAAACATTTTACCTCAATTTGGCAGCCAAATCGCCAAGCTTGGAGATCAGCCCAACCGCCCAACTTCTATTCCTAATCGTGCAATTATCAGTCTCGGGTTTTAGTCCCATCCTTCATTCTGCCCTTCACAATTTTCAGGGGAAATACATCCTCTTTAATTGGAAAATTCAAAGGGAAGTCATCTCTCTTCTTTTTTGTTTGAGTAGCTCAAACACGGATTCCTCCCCCTACCCCATTATTTTTAATGCCCTTAAGCCACTGATGTGGAACTGAAGAGACCTACATGTCACCTTCCCCTCTGAATCACCTTTTCTGCTGCACATCCCTAACCTAAAGTCCTTTTGGTGGCTCTTAGAAACCTTTGCAACCACCATTCATTCTGTACTTCTACCTTCTTGACCTCCTATCAGACAATACAGACTCCTGCAAGGTAACCAGGACTTTTAAGCGAGTAACCACTTCGCTTCTGCAGTATCTGACATTTTGTCCCCACTGGACTTGACTGTAGTTGGGCATTTGGTATCCGCTTTTTGAGCTCCGAGTTCCTTTTCCCGTTAATTTTCTACTGCCATGAAGTCCTATTGCCCATGACTATGGCTGAATGTTTTGCAGTTCATGATTCCAAGGATGCATTTATCAGGTTCTAGCAGTGAAAGTTTGATTTCTGCATTCAGAAATTGCAAGGGTGTCTGTTACCCCCAAGGGAGGGAGAGGTGAAAAGATGGGGGGGGGAGAAGAGAATTATAGGAGTGATTGGGCCCAGGGTGGTGCTGTACTATAGTGCTGGACACTTTTATAATGTATCAGATAATAACTCACCCCAAACTATAACCTCTCCTGAGAGTTTAAAGTTAACCGTTAAACACCACAGTTAAGGATGAAGCTTTGGGGCACTCCGTAACAGAGAATCTGGCAACTAGACTCTTTCCTCTGCTACGCCCAACGGAAACCATCAGGTAGGAGCGGACCTACCAGAGCAACTCTCAGTCCTCAGATGTGGTTCAGGAGGATGCTGTGCCTGGCAGCATCGCAATCCACTGGACAGTCTAGGAAGAGAAGGATGCTTGCACTCCCTTCATGTGAGTCCTTCCACAGGTCAACCATCAGCGGGACCATCAGCCGTCTCTTATCCCACGGTCAGGTATGAAACCGGACTGTCATCCATTTTCTCTGGAGCCTTTTATAACTGCAGTCCCACTCTTTCTTAATAACCTTCTCCAAAAAGGGAAGGTTTGGGATATAATGGAAGTTATTCATAACTGCTGGATTCAGATTTAGCTTTTGGAGGAGTGGATGGACCTACATCTCTTTCAGGACTTCTGGGGCCTCACCTTCCCTCAAATGGATTGACCATAGCTTGAATCAAGTTCCCAGTTCCTGCCTGGCCATTTCCACCAGCCAGGTTGTGCAGAGGCCCAATCCAGAGGTGGTGAAGTTGAAAACACAGGGAACTTTTTCCAAGTCCTCAAGATTCACTTTTTATGATCCAGACCATCTAGGGAAAGATGGTCAGACCATCCATGGAGGACCACTGTGAGTTCTTAGTAGAGAATATTGCAGAGAGGGAATCTTTTGCCTTTGTTGACTTAGAAATCAGCTAGAAAAAGTCTGAAATGACGTTGTCCAACAGTCTTATCTGGCAAAGGTTTCAGTCTGTGGACTCTAAGAAAGCAGACGGAACCCCGTGGCTCAGGAGCCCTTGGGGGGGAGGCGAGGCGGGGGTTCCTGACCTACGGGCCTTGGGAGAGCTGCTATGAAAAGGACAGGGGGCTGGACCCAAAGGGTTGTGAATAGCCCCATGGCAGGAGGGGGCATGCCGGCAGGTGTCCCTTGGGGAGCCGCTCAGGAGACCCTCCTGCAGGGCGACTGGGGGGACCCGGCCATTAGGTCATCGGCCTCTGCCTTGCCCTTTGCTGGGAAGGCTCGTGGGGGGGGCGCGGAAGTCGGGGGAGGGAGCCCAGGCCAGGGCCCCCCCTTCCCTTCCATCCTCCAAGGCTCATGCGCTGGGTGGGGGTTGGAGGGCAGCTGCTCCTGCCTCCAGCATCGGGGGCCCGGCTGGGGGGGCGGAGGGGGGAGGCACCTCTTTCTTCGGGTTGAGGCCTTAGCCTAGGGGGCAGCCCCATCCTTCACCCCACCCCAATTCCCATGCAGCCCTCACGTGCAGCGAGCTTGGGCCCCTCGATTTGCCGCTGGCGGCCAGCGGCCCGGACAGCACCCCAGGCCTCGGGGCCCGCCGAGCTCCGCGAGAGGCTCGGGGCCCAACCCTACCTAGAGGGCGCGGCCTGGCTCCGGAAACGGCCTGGCTGGGACGGGGGTCCGTCCGGGCGCACCTCCTGCAACGGGCGAGGGGGGGGGCAGGAGGCCGGCCTGCCCGCCCGCGAGGGAGGGAAAGGGGAGCGCGGGGGGAAGTGCAGTTCCGCCTCCCGCCCCGTCCGCGGCTCCGCCGGGGACGCCCCGCATCTCCGTGGCGCGGCTTTCCTCCGCTCCGACCGGCCCGGCCGCTTACCAGAGAGAGCGCCGCCGCGGTGGTGGTGGTGGTAGTGGTCGCCGCAACCGCCGCCATCTTCACCGCCGCCGCCGCCTCGCGCCCCGCGCTCCGCAATCTCGCGAGAACCAGGCGGCGGGAGGCCGGGCTAACGCGAGGCGGCTCCGGAGGGGATGACGGCCAGGGCGCCTGCGCGAGCCTTTTGATTGCCGCCAGACGCCCCGCTGAGCCTGTAGGGGGCGTCCTCGGGACGCGGCGGAGCCCCGGCCAGAACCTTTCCCGTTCGCCCCGCCCACCCGCCCTCGGAGGGAGCGTGCCGCGCGGGGGGAAACGTCAAGAGCTGGCAGAGCGCGAGTGGGCGGTGCTTAGACGCGGGGCGGGGCAGGGCAAAGGCGGCGGCCGCCAGGAGGATCAGTCGCTCTCCGCCTGTCCCCCCTCCCCCCGTGGGCGATCCCAGGAAGGGGCTCCTGGGCGGCGGCGCTCCCGGCCCACGCCCCCTCCGCTGGGAGGGGAGAGAGGGGAGGGGGAGGGGAAGGCAGGGTGGGCGGCGTCGGAGCAGGAGGCGGCCGGGCGGGCAGCCGGCTCCTCTCCTCTTCCCTCGCTCGGCCTCTGCCGGTTCAGGGGCCGTCCTGGCCGCCGGCCTCGGGCCTGGAGCCGGCGCCTCGGGCGGGGAAGAGCTGGGGCCGGTGCAGGGCGCCTTCCAGGAACGCCGCCAGCTTCTCCCAGTCGTCCTGGAAGAGAGCGGAGGGAAGGAGGGTTGAGGCCCCAGGGAGCGTCCCGGCCCTCCTCCTCCCCCCTACCCCCCCAAGGGCTCCCTTCCACGGAGCCCCGCCCCCCACCCAGAGCCCCCTGGCAGGAGGGACGTGTAAAAGCTCCAGCCACATGGAGCTCCCGAGGGCTACACAAGGGGGGGGGGCGGTGGTCCTCTGGCTGTGCTGCTGGACACACACACATACACCCCCGCTTAAGTCTGCCGGGCGAACCGCCCCGATGCCGCTTCCGTGATGGTGGGGGGTGCAGGAGGCTCACCTGGCGGATGAATCCGTACTGCACCAGCTCAGCCGCCAGGTCCCTGGCATTGTCGCCTGTGGAGGAGCAGGGATTGCCAGCCTCACCAGGTCGGCCTTTGGCCCTCCTGCAAAGTTCAGGGGCTGGGCCTGGACCGGCGGAGTGGCTGGGGAGCCCTTGCAGGGACCCACCTGCTCTGCCAGCTAGTGGCCTTTGCAAGGCAGCCCCTCTGCTTTGAGAGCAACTCTGATTCCCAGCTTGTTTCTGAGCACAATTCAAGGTGCCTGGTGGTCCCTCGTGAAGCCCCTCAAGGCTTGGGACGCGGGTGTCTCTAGGGCTGCTTCTCCCCCCTCCCCCCTCTAGGGCTGCTTCTCCCAAGAGAAGCCCCCGCAGGGCCCTGCTTCTAGGGAGTGTGGCCCCTGGGCCAGCTTCCCTGGGGAGACCAATTTTTGCCAAGCATGGCACCTGGCTGCTTCAGCAGACCTTCCAGATCTCCTGTTACAGGCCTTCCTCAGGCTGGAAAAATTCATGGCCACCTAGCCACGTGAATAAACAAATCCCCATGGGGGGGGAGGGTGTTGGAGGGCCTGGGGTGGGATGGCCTTTTCCAGATTCTCCTCAGGCAAGGAGGGAGCTGCACCTGCCTTAGGAACCCAGGGGGAGACCCTGTCCAGGACCCGAAGGCACAGCTGGCATGGCTGCCCATCCCCCACCTCTGTACCCCCCAGCAGGAGGGAAGTGGGAGAGACTCACTGGGGAGCAGGTCGTAGCTCAGCTGGCGGTGGAGCTTGTCTTCCAGGATGAGGAGGAGGGTCAGCTGTTAGGGAGGCACAGGTTAGCATGTATTGGGGCCCTCTGGGGCAGAGGAAGGAGAGCAGGGCACTTCCAAAATCTATCCATAAAACTACTAAGAAAGGATTCTTGGCAAAGCGAATGTATACCAGAGAAGGTGTCGCTGTTTGGAGCGCAATTTCAAAGATAAGCAAGCTTTATAGAATGACTTTTGTCCCACCTGAGAGCGCCTTTGGACTGTGCTGCCTCAGCCCTGGAGGCCCTTTAGCCCCTCCACCGCCTTTGCCCTGCTGCAGGACCCCTCCCCAAGCGGGGCTTTCGTGATCACTATGAACGGCCCGCCGTGAGCTTCCCTGCGCTCTCCTTGCCTGAACCAGAGGGGAACCCCCTCCCTATCCTTAAATCCTCACGCCCCCCACTCCCACCCCAAGGGGCACCTAGGTAAATGCAGGGTGAGGGGGGGGGCTGTTGAAAAGGCCCGGCTTCCGCTTGCCAGGATGCCTGGCCTGGTGCTCCCCCCCGGCCTGCAGCTGCAAGCGCTTCCCCAGGCCGTACGTACATGCCATTGCCGCCTCTCCTCCAGCCAGTCCATATTGCACTGCATTTGCACCACCTGGTGGGGGCAGAGGCAGCCCTCAGCAGAAGCCCCCTCCTGAGCCCCTGCCCCCCAGCCATGGCCCTGCTGGTAGGGGGTGCAGGATGCTGCCCCTCCTGGGGCTCTTCCCCAAGCTCAGCTCCCTGGCCCTGCATGGGAGCATCTCCCATGGCTGAGAGCCCCCTCCCAAGAAACACCCATCTCCCACCTGCCCCCCCAGCCGGCCAAGAGGGGCGGCCAGGCAGCTTAGTCTTTTTCCCCCGGAGAAATGGGGGTGCAGCACCGGGTGTTGGCCTGCAGCCATTTTGTGAGGGTCTCTGGGGCCACCTGAGCCGTCCCTGCAGGGGATGAGGGGAAATGGACTTTCTCCTCTGCTCCTGGTCAAAACTTTAGTCCCCACCCCATCGCCATGACACGTCAGCAGTGTCCTCCTGAGGCTCCTGGGCCGACCTCTTGCTGCCCACCCGGGGAAAGGTCCTCCACCACCTCCTCCTCCTCACTCACTGCGGGGGGGGGGGAACAGACTGAAGTGGTGCAAAGGATGGAAGAGAGGAGAGTCCCAGAGGCAGCCCCCCTCTTTTGCCTCCTTGGGCTCCAAACAAGGGGAGGGGGCTGCTGATCCGTAGAAGCCACCTCACCTTCCGCGTCTCTACATCAAAAGGCTCCGGTGTGGGGGTTTGGGCTTTCTGGGGGTCTTCCAGGGCCTGGGAACTGGACTGTGGCAGGCTGTGGGGCCGGATGGTGGCAAAGTTCATCAGGGGGTAGATACCATTCCTGGCAGGAAGAGGGAGGTGGGTCAGGCAATGGGCCCCAGCAAGGATAGTGGGGTGGCTGCAGAGGGAGAAGCGGAAGATGGAGAAACTCACCTGACATCCTCCAAGAATTTGTCCAATTCCAGGAAAGAGACCTCTGAATATCTAGGGAGGTTGGGGGGAGGGGAGGGAGGGCAAATTTAGGCCAGGTGTCTGTGGCAGCTGCAGCCGCCCAACAGAGCCAGAAGGGTCCAAGGTGCCATGGCTGCCAGCAGCCTCCGTGCCACAGCTGGAGATGGGTGCACCCAGGACCTGGCTTCTGCTTTGCCTGCCCTCTAGGCTCTCCCCTGGTGGAGAGGGAGGGGGCAGGGCAACAAGGGTCAGCCTTGGGCTGGGGGGGTGAGGATCTCAGCCAGGAATCCCAGGTGGCAACTGGCAGGCCCTGAGCCTCCTTGAGGGCGCTGCTCAGGGCCAGACCCACCTCCACTGCACAGGCAGCCGCCCTGCCTGTCGAATCTCTGCCATCACCTCACTGAGATCCAGCTCCTTGGTTTTCTCCTCCACCACATTTTCAGGCCACAGGTCTGCAAGACACAGGACTGGAACTCCAAGCCAGGGGCAGCTGGCCTTTCCACCCCATGGCCGCCCTTCCTGCCCACCCTGCTCCCAGCCCCCCCCCAAACTCACATTGGTTGGCGATGAAGCAGTGGGCAGCCAGGAGCTTCAGGGAGTGGACCTCAAAAAGTACCCGGTGGAACAGCAGGTCGTGGGCCGTGGGCCGCCGGCTGGGATTCAGGAGGAGGCAGCCCAGGATGAATTCCTGCATGGGGGGGGGGGAAGGAGAGGGAGGGGGGAGATAGTTACAGAGAGAAAAGCCTCTCTTGCCCCCCCCCCTCAGGCAGGCAGCTCAGCCCAGCCCTGCACAGGGACAGTTGAGGGTTGAGCAGGGAGGAGTAAGCTGACCCAAATGGGCTGAGGCGTCTTGATTAGCTATGTTTAGCTCATCCTGGCAGAAAACAGCCACGCCCGACATCACGCCCTTCTGACCTGTAGAGTGTCCAGAAAGGAGGGCAGGGGCAACTGGCCAAGCAGGGTCTTTCGTGTGTCTGATGAAAACTATTCATGCAAGCTTTTGAGAGGTACTGAATGTCGAACTGGCGCACAGATTGGTTCAATGAACAGAAAATCCTGCAAGCAAAAGCTCTCTGGCGCTCGGTGGCAGCCGGAAAGGTTCCCTTCCAGAGTGGAGCCGGCATTCCCAGAGCAGAAGGTGGTGCCCTTCTCCCCTCTGAAGACAAAGGTGGCAGACCCACCCTGGCCGAGCCTGGTGCGGGCCCATTTTAGGGGTCATCAGAATGGGCCTCATCAAGCAGGGCAGGTTCACACCACCCTAAGCCCCCAAACAAACCTCAGAGGTGAGTGGAGGTACAGCGGTGAGCACTTTAAGCCTGTGACCCGGTTAAGTCTGTTGTGTAAACACAGCAAATGAGGAGGACAACGCGTAGGCTCTGGCTGCCCCTGCTCCCTCGGTTTTCATCCTGTTTTTCTTCAGCTCCCCACCTCTAGTTTATTACTTTTCACTCAATTGCAGAAGTTTCTTATTTAAGGATCTTAAGTTCTCTGCAGCTAATCTCAGTTCTCAGGGTGGGTCTTGTTGAAGTAGCAGGAAGTGGAACCAGCTGGTTCTGTGGAGGCCACCTAAAGTTGTGCTTGCCTTTCTTGCAACTTCATCACCCTGTGATTTATCAAGAACTCCACCCCACCCCCAAAACAGAAATGCCTGCACATCTGACTGTCAGCTGCCACTCCACTCAGTGCAGACTGAGCGCCAGACTGCCATGAACTCTAGGGGGACTGGATGGCGGGGGAGGATTCAAGGAAAAATGAAAACTTCACTCTTTAGGTCTCAAGGTCAACCAGCTAGGAACAGAATATAGCTGCATTGCAACCCACCCTTGAAGCCCCCCCCCCTTCAGAAAATGTCTCCTTTGAATCTGATTGGACATGGGGGGCAGCATGGGCAGGCAACGAAGTTTGACTTGGGGATTTGGGTCCCTGAATTTCACTTTGGCTTTGCACTACCGTATTTCACTTCACTTCTAGTAAGTTACATCTTTCTCAACAAGTGGAGTTAAGGATCGTTCTTTCTTAGAGGCTCAAACTGAGGCAGGCCTGGCCCTGGCTTTTCCTGAAGGAAGAACTCTTGTCCATTAGGATTATCTCGCCATGCACTTCTTCTTCTTGTGCCATATCTGTTATTGGACATTGGCAGGTATCATGTTGGCCATGCACAGGTATCTATAATCCAAACTAGACTGCGTTGCCTCTGTCATATAATGTATGTGGGTATATGCATATTTCGGTATTTATTTTTGTCATATTTACTGTATGTAGTGTATATTGGAGGTGGTGACCCTTTGAGAGCTGTATGTACTGAAATTTCATTTTAATGTATGCTTATTAGTGTACATTCAAAGTGACAATAAAGTTATTATTCTATTCTATTCTTCTATTTTATTGAATTTCATTTCTGTTTTCTAGGGCATTGGCTATCTTGCCTGCTTTTGTGTCATCTACCATTCCAGATAGGGGGCTGTCCAGTCTTTTCTTAAAAACCATCAATGATGAAGCACCCACAGCTTCTGAAGGCAGTGTCTACTGGTTAATTCTTCTCCCAATCAGGAAATTTCTCCTTAGTTCCAGGTTGCTTCTCTCCTTGATTAGTTTCCATCTGTTGCTTCTTGTCCTGCCTTCTGGTGCTTTGGAGAATAGCTTGACCCCCTTTTCTTTGGGGCAGCCCCTCAAATATCAGAATACTACTATCATGCCCCCCCCCCAGTCCTTCTTTTCTGTAGACTGGCTATGCCCAAATCCTGCAACCATTCTTCATATGTTTTAGTCTCCAGGCTTTTAGTCATCTTAGTTGATCTTCTCTGCACTTTCTCCAAAGTCTCAACATCTTTTTTGTAATGTGGTGATCAAAACTGGATACAGCATTCCACGTGTGGCCTTTCTAAGGTTTTTAAGGCAATACTAATACTTTACATGATTTTGATTCTATGCCTCTGTTTATACAATCAAGGATTGTATTAGCTTTTTTGGATGCTGCTGCACATCGCTGGCTCATGTTTAAGTGGTTGTCCACTAGGATTCCAAGGTCCCTCTCACAGTTACTGTTTTTGAGCCAGGTCTCACTTAATCTGTACTTGTACCTTTCGTTTTTCCTGGCTAAATATAAAACTTTGCTTTTCTCCACATTCATTTTGTTGGATAAGGCCCATCGTTCAAGTCTGTCAAGATCCTTTTGGATACTGAGCTTGTCTTCTGGGGTGTTGGTTATTCCTGCCAATTTAGTGTCACCTGCAAATTTGATGATTTCCCCTTCTATTCCCTCATCTGTCATTTATGAAGATATTGAAGAATACTGGATCTAAGACAGAACCTTGTGGTACCGTACTGCTTACTTCCCTTTATGTAGATATAGCACCATTCAGGACTGCTCATTGAGTACTGTTTGTCAGCCACTTACAAATCCATATGGTGGAGATGCTGTCTATCCCACATTTTTCAAGCTTACCAAGAAGTAGGTTTTGGTCTACTTTGTCGAATGCCTTACTGAGGTCTAAGTATATTATGTCCACAGCATCTTGGCAATTTTCTCAAAGAATGAAATAAGATTGGTTTGGCGTGATCTTCTTTTAACAAAACCTGCTGGCTTCTAGGCATAACTTTATTTCTAAATGTTTGCAGATCTGTTTTTTTCATTATATTTTCCAGGATCTTTCCGTGATCTTCTTTTAACAAAACCTGCTGGCTTCTAGGCATAACTTTATTTCTAAATGTTTGCAGATCTGTTTTTTTCATTATATTTTCCAGGATCTTTCCAGGTATTGAGGTTGGGCTGATCAGTCTGTAGTTTTCTGGGTCTGTTTTTCCCCCCATTTTTGAAGGAGGGAACCAGATCAGCTCTTTTACACTCCTCAAGGTAATTCCAGGATTTTTTAAAGATATGATACAATGGTTCTGAGATAACATCTGCCATCTCCTTCAGAACTCTGGGATGTAATCCATCAGGTCCCAGAGATTTATATTGATCAAGATCAGACAGGTGTTCCCTTACTATTTTAATTTTTATTTCTAGACAGTTTATTGTAATGTTCTTGGTAGGTTGGGCTATAGTTTCTTTTTGTGTGAAGACTGATGCAAAGAATAAGTTAAGCAGCTCTGCTTTCTCCCTACTGCCTGTTCCTTCCTTGCCATCTTCCCTCTTTAGTGGAACGACTGCTTGCTTGTTTGTTGTTATTTATATGTTGAAATAATTTTATTATCTTTGACTTTTGTTGCAAGTCTTTGTTCATTCTGAGCCTTTGCTTTCCTGACGTTACCTTAGCAGATTTGGGCATATTCTGCCTTAGTTATGTGTCCCTCTTTGTGTTGTTTGTACTTGTCCTTTTTGTCTTTGAGTTTACCAGAGAGATTTTTGTGCAGTCATGGTGGTTTCTTCTTAGATGTCTTGTTTTTCTTTTTCAGTGGTATTGTACTGGACTAGGCTTTTATGAAGATATTTTTCAGAGTTTTCCACGCTTCTTGAGTTCTTTTCCCCTTTAGGATTTTCATCCATGGAATCTTTCCTAGGCTCTCTCTGAGTTTGTTAAAATCTGCTCTTTTAAAGTTTAAGACACTGATTGGATTATGTTCTATTGGTTGCGTTTGCATTATATTGAATACCAGTACGATGTGATCACTCTCGCCCAAAGTTCCAGCAACTTCAACTCCCTCTATCACTTCTTCTCTATTAGTAAGAATTGGGCCCAGTACAGCTTTTCCTCTTCCTCTTCCTTCCCATCACTCTTTACCTCAATATGTTTTTCTTTTTTTCTTCCTTCTTTCTCTTTACTCTGTACGTTACATAATCAGTTATCTAGTGGTTTTTGCTTAGAATTAGGTTCTAAAGGTCGTGGAGATCCCCCCCTCCTCGCCCCAAGAGGATAGCAAATCTGAATGTTGCAAAATTGATGGTAGATCAACAGTTGCTGGTTGTTCGTTGCTCACTGAGCTTGTTCTCAAATCAGGACAATCACTGGAATTTCTTGGGAGGCCTTCCACCTAATATTACTCTTCTGAATTTCTTGAGTTTCTTGTAAACGTGGCTGCTTGTTCTTAGCAGGGTGAAGCCTGATACCCAGAGGACTATGAGGAGCCACCTGCTTCTTAGCGAGCAAGAGAGAGATGGATGGATGGATAGCACTTGGGGGGGGGGCGCGTTTTTTGTATGAAATGGTTCCTGCAACACTGTATAATATGACCTCTCTCTAGTCTGGACTGACCGAATGGGTAGATGGTAAAGAAGGGATAACATGAACTCCAGCTCTCTCTGTCCATTAGAACCCCGAGGGGGGGGCAGAACCCCAGGAGGACAAGAGTAACATCCATGTGCCCATACTTGACAAGCAGGATTATTTTGCAGTTCTGAGCTCAGGCCCGTGGAAATGTTATGTGCTATTCCAGAAGACTGGGGAATGGGAACCGCCAGGCGGCTGGAGACCAAGGTGATCGCGGTCATCCTGTCACCCCTGCCCCACCTCAGAGGGGTTGTGCTGCCTCTCACCCGCATGTTGGGGTCATCCAGAGAGTGCCTAGCTCGCTCAATGGCCTCCTTGGTCACGGAGGAGTCCCCGTTTGACTGGATCTCCAGCACGGCCATCTGTGGGAGAGGGCAAGATGGAGCTGGGCTGGCCACACAGGCAGCAGCTGGGTTCCAGACCCCCTTTTGCCAGCAGCAAAGCTGGCCGGGGGAACCTCGGCCTCTGCCCTCGCAGCCCCTTACCTCCAGAGCACACATCCCAAAGGAAAAGATGTCCACTGCGGTGCCATCGGCCGTCTCTGAAAAGCCAACAGCGTCCCATGGAGCCGGCATGCCCCAAACGACCATGCCCCTCCCCCCACCGGAAGAGACTTGCTCTCACCTCCGTACTCCGGAGGAAAGAAGTGCAGGTTCCGCGGGTCTTCCCGCTCTGTGCGGCCCGGACTGTGGAGTTCGGGCGGAAGGGCTGCGGGAGGGAAGGAAGGCGCTTGCTCAGGTGGCAGGCCGGAACAGACGCCACCAAACCTCAGCACGGCCTGGGGCCGAGGGTGTCCTTCCTGCATCAGAGGGTGGCAGCCCAGACACAGTCCTGAAGCCAGGTGAGGGCTGAAGGGCCTGACTCTGACACGGGAGCCAGCAGAGAGGGGCGGGAAGAGGCAACTCCAGGCAGCTTCACTTACCCTTTGCAAAAACACGATGCCAGACTGTGGGGGAGAGAGAAGAAGGCCATTTTACAGAGTTGTGGGGGCTCCTACCCAGAAGCTGCTGTGTCACCCCAGCGTTTGCTTCTCATCCTGAGCAAACAAGTCCCGGACGATGTGTCAGGCTAAGCTCAAGAACGACGGCCAGCAATTCAGCCAGAGGTCAGTTCTTTATTTGCTTACACACCATAGACAGAATCTTGCCAGACTGAACCCTCGCTACTCCCATATGCCATGGGAGATTTTAGGAAGGGACCATCCCGACTCTCTTTCTTTGTCTCCTACCTGGCTTCAGGTTGTGCTGCCTCTTCTTCCCCCCCCCCCGTTTCTGGAAGGTGCTCCCCTCCTGCCTGGGAAACTGATGCGCTTCACATAGCCCATCGCACCAGCTCCCCCTCCGTGGGCATCGTCTCTCACACAGGAGAAGATGCTCCCAACCACACCAGCCCATGCGTGGCAGGTCCATGCACAGAGTTCTTCCATGGGGTGTGTCTGTGTGTGGGGGTATTGGCAGGTCACGGGAAGCATGGCAGAACTTGATCAAGCCAACACACATACATGCATGCACAGGCGTGAAAGCAATGGACTGAGGCCCCCAATTTATTCATTATATTTATATTCATCCCACTGTTACGGCAACTCTGGGTGGCTTACAGAATAAGAAAAATAAAAATACAAAACACTTAAAATTAGAAAAAATTAAACAAGAAGCTAAAAACCAAGAGGACAGGTGAAAAAGGTGTGGACAGCTCCTCTTTACCCTGTTGGTCATCTAGAACGCCCCACTAGGGCCCTCGGCCACCCACCAGAGCCAAGGCTCCCCTGAAGGCCAGGAGGGTGGGGGCCAAGCTCACCTCCAATATTCCAGAAGGCGGGGGCCAAAGCAGAAAAGGCTTCTTGTCCTGGACCCACCAGCCCAAATTCTGTGGACAATCCTTTACAGGTAATGACCAACCCCTTGAGTTGGATCCGGAAGCAAGCGGACAATGGCGGTGTTACATGCATGCCCTCCAGAAGGGTCTGCACTGCTGCATTCTCTATCGCTTGTAGCTTCTGAAGGACAGCCCCAGGCAGAGCGTGTTGCAGTGGTCCAACCAAGAGATGATCAGGGCTTCAGGACCCAGGAGGGAGGGGGAGGCCACAGGTCTTTCTCAGGGCCCTGTGGGAGCGGTAGGGGTCTCCCTGGCTAGCTTTCCTTTCAGGCGCTCCAGGGTCTGCCCCAGCCCACCTCATACCTGATCCAATTTTGATGAGCCCATTGTGCTGGATGAAGATGGTGTCACTGGTGAGGTTGCCGTGGATGATGGGGGGATCGCAGGAGTGCAGGTAGCTGCAGGGAAAGAGTACTGGGGGAGCCCTGCGCCTGACAGGCACTGCCAGCCATCAGGAGGGGCAGTGTGGCTGAGGAGGGGCTGGGGGGGAAACTTGGGACTCACCTGAGAGCTGAGAGGATCTGGGTACACCAGCGCTTCCATGCCTGTTGGGGAGAGAGCAGAGGGAGAAAGGCAGGCCGGCAGCCCCTCCGCCCAGATCCCCCTCCATTCCCAGGCTGTGGGCAGCCTGAGGGCCCAGCCGGGTCACCGCAGAGGTCCATCCACGGTGCCAGAAGCCCTGTGCCCAGCCTTCTGGAGGGGCTCCCAGGGTGGCCGACGCAAGCAGCTGGAGCGGGGGGGGGAGGGACCCACCCTGGCATTCATCGCTTTGTGGTTCTTCTTGGTCTTTTTCAGGAACTGCTTCAGGCTTCCTGAGGAGACGTACTCGGTGATGAAGATCACCTGCAGGGGAGGGGTCAGAGTGGGCCCAGTGGGTGCCCCCCTTCCCAGGCACTAAGGGGCTCTGGCCCCTCTCCTCCCACAGGGAAGGCTGCCTCTTCTCGGGAGCCCTCAAGCCCGGCCCCTGAGAGAGACTAACCAAGGCGTCCCCCTCAAGCCCCTTCCCAGCTCCACTTTCTGATCCGGTGGCCTGCCGGATGCTGCCAGCCCTCACCCTGCCCCAGCGCCCTTCCCCCGTGACCTCTTGGCTTCAGAGGGACGTTCCTGGAGCCCCTTGCCCTGAGCCCAGCCCTCCAGCCTCAGGCAGCCCGGCCTACCCTGCGCACACTCGCCTGGGCTTTGCTCTCCTTCACGTCCAGCCAGTATTTGTGCACCTTCACGATGTTGGGGTGGTCAACGACCACCAGCTGTTCAAAGGTGGCCTTGATCGTCTCCTGTTGGGCAAGGGGCACTTCAGGGGAAGGGAGCCTCTGCCAGGGGCAGCCAGAGACGGGCGCTCTGAGCACAGGGACCCCTCCTCCTCTGGGCTCCACCCACCTCGTACGCCATGAAAGCCGCCTTGTCGGTGAACTGCAGCTCGTTCCACACCACCTCCACTCCCTCCTCCGTGTCCATGGCCAGGAACGTGCTCTGGAGCCCAGGCATGTTGCCTTGGTTCACCTGTGGGCATCATCCAGCTTCAGGAGCCAGGCCAGAGAACCCACAGGCACCCACAGGACCCTGCCTGTGTCACAGGGTCCAGAACCAGCCAACGGCCTGGGCAATATTGCATCTGCAGCCTTCCAGAGGTCTTAGACAGGCCAGAGGTGGATCTGGACAAGTCTGACCCTGGCTGTGGGGCAGATCTTGCCCCTGGGGAAAGGCCAGGAAATAGGCTGGCACGTCCCTATCTTGCCAGAGGGGAGGTCGAGGCACAGGGCCCTGTCTGCCCATCAGAAGCAGCTCCGTGTCTTGGCTCAGCTGCCCCTTGCATGCAGCATGGAGACCCTCAGGCGGCCCCTCATAGGGCTGCCCCACTGCCTGGCAAAGGCAAGGGCACACAGCCCCCCCTGCTTTAGAAGGGAAAGGTGGGGCTGTTCCCCCCTTTCTTCTTGGTCGCACAGCACTGGCTCCATTGCCCTCCTCCTCCGACCCCCCTCCCCAGGTCTCCAGACCTTGTCTGCAACCAGCAATGGCCTCATCAGCTCCAGAGCCTGACCGGGCACCTGAGGCCGGAGACAGAGGAGGAGAAGCCAAGCGGCTGGGGCGCCCTAGCCCTGTCCTCTGGCTCCACGCGCAGGATTAGGGCAAACAGGACAGCTCTGGGGGGGGAAGACCCAGAGGGGCCCGTTCCCTGCCCTCCAGCTGTGTCACCACTGGAAGGGAGCGAGAAAGAGACCAGCCTCCGAGGGGAAAGGGGGCCTTCCCCTCCCCATGCCCTTAATGGGATGGCCATATCAGCCCATTTCCTCAGCTCACACGTGACCCGTGTGACATATAAGCTCCCCACCCAGAACAGGTGGAACCTCAGGATGTGCCCTGAACACCCCTCCCCCCCAAGTGTTGTTGCAGCGATCGCCACTGCACTGGCAACGGCCCCCTGGGTGAGCGCAGCCCCCTTCCCAAAAGAAATGGGGCAGAGAGCCGTTCTCTGGGTCCTCCAAGGACAGGAGCCTCTGGCTGGGCATCCAGGGAGGGGACTGAGGCCAGCCCCCCCCCAAGCTTTCCAGGAGCTGCTTAAGGAAACTAGTCCCAGGTCCAAATAAGGGGCCCCTCAGGAGTGGGGTGGCTGCCTGAAGGTGCTACCCAAATCCCCCCCTTTGCCATTTGCCAGCAGGGCTGCCAGCGGCTGCCTTTCCAGAGAATAAAGGGGGGGGGGCACTGCTTTCCTCATGTAGAAGCCAAGGCTGGTTTGCTGGTTCTCTGCTCCTTGATGGGCTCTCCTGGGCTGAGGTTGGCAGCAGGCGCTTTGGGAGCCCCCTGGCTCAGGGGAACCAGGGACAAAGGCAGCAGCTTCCCCTCACCCCCTTGGGGCCCGTCAGGAGGCAGGGTTCAGCAGAGGACCGCCAGCAAAGGGACCTGCTCTCTTGTTTTCCTGAGACTGGAGACTTGGGGAGGGGGCACAGCCCAGTGCCAGGGTGGCGTTCTGGCAGGAGGAGGAGGAGGAGGAGGAGGAGGAGGAGGAAGGGGGGTCTGCACCCCTGGAGGACCAGGGAGGAGAGGGGGAAGAGCACCTCTCTGCCCAGACCCAGCTTCTTGTGCCCCCTTCCCCACTCGCTTCTGAGAAGGCAGCCTCCTTGTCCCGGACTGTGTTTGGGCAGTTCATTCAGCTGATTCCCCTGCAGCCTCCTTGCAGCTGGCAGATAACATTAGATTCTGGGTTTTAGTGTTCTTTATTTCTCAGGGATAATTTATAGAGTGGATCTTAACAATTTTTCTAGGCATTTTGATTAATTCTCTTGTTACTGAATTAGCATCTATACCTAAGTGTTCACCATAAAACACTCAAATAAATAAACAATGAACCACAGGAAAAATATATCTGCTCAGGCAGGGAAAGGAAAGCACTGCCCAGGAGAGGATTCACGGCCACTTCAAGGGCCCTTCACCCCATGCCCAGCCCCACCTTGGCCCACCAGTGAACCCTTCGCCCTGCCTTTCCCTCTTCCCTCTTGCAGAGAGAGGGCAAGGGGACTGCCACCACCAAGGAGAGCCTGGCCTGGGTACCAGCACAGCCTTCTGATGGAGGCGTTGTCATGACAACTGCCTGCAAGATTCAGGAGGCCAACCGGCAGCACAGTGATTCTCTTGGGAGCCCAGGGAGGGCCCTGATGACCAAGCGGACGGTCTGTGGAGCGGCTCCCCCAAGGGACAGGCACCCTGCAACGGAGCTGGGCTTCCACTCTGCTGCCACTTACAAGAGGCTTCCCACTGCTTCCCTCCTCCGGGGAAGTGCTGTGAATTCAGGATGGGACATAAAACTCTTTTGTCAATCTTCATCTGGCCTAGAAATTAGACTCACACATTCTGTGTCCTCTTCCCGAAGGAAGCAAGGAAGCAGCAGAGGAACGTGGAGATGCCCACGAAGAAAGAGGCTGTGCAGCAGCCCCTGCAAAAGCATCAGCCTAGCCTGGCACGACAGAAGTGGGTGACCAGGAAACCAAGACCCCCCTGCCCAAGCTCTTCACCCGAGCAGAAGCTCTCCCGGGCTTTCACAGAGCCCAGATCAATAAGGGGTGGCTCTGGGGTGGCTCTATTTCCTGACCTGGTCTACCTCGCAGGGCTGACGGGAATGCGTCTCTCCTTTTCTGGCAAGGCAAAATGGCCACTCACCCATGCCACGCCCCAAGAACAAAGGTTTCCTTTGAGGCCACAACAAGCAAAACTCGGGGAAGCAGAGCCAAAGCTCTGGGGGGGGGGGGAGGAGAGGCAGCACTGGGGACTAAAGGAGAAGAAAAGGCCCAGCCCTGCCCTCCTCCGATAAGCCTCCCATCAAGGCCCCCCAGGCGATAAGCAGCAGTTCAGCCAAGCCCATGCTCCACCCAGTCCAGGGATGGCCCATAGCCTCTCCTGAGGTGGGGGGAGCAGATGAAGAGAAAGAGCCAGCAGATTCCCTTTGCTGACCAGCCCTGCAAGATCCTTCTTAGAACAGTGACCCTTAGAGAGGAATCGGCAATGGGGGGGGTCAGTTGCAATCAACCAGAAAGCCTGAGGGGTTCCCCATTCAGCCCCCTCCAAGCAGACCCGATGGGGCTCCCAAACCGGCCATTGGAGGAAATGTGGTGGAGGAAATTCCGGCGGCCCAGAGCCCCACACGAGGCAGAGGGGCCCAGGGGGGCCCTTCGGAGAGCCAGCTGGAGGCTGCTGCTCTCAGCTCTCCACAAGGGTCCCCAGGTCAGCCTGGTGGGCAGAGCTGCCAGCCTGAGAAGGGGGAGAGAGACTTGGGTGGCCCTGCCGGCTAAAGCCAGGCTGGGCCCAGGAACTGGCTGAACAACGCCTGTGCGGTGAGCCGGGCAGGAATCCCACTTGCCCTGAGGGAGGGGCCTGTGGATGAAGAGGAGGGGCGGGCAGCAGCCTCAAAGATAAAGGGTACTCACCCCGGAAGTTCTCCAAATCACACCCAGGTGCTGCCAAACAAAGCGCAAGGACGCCCGAAATCCCTAGCTGGGAGGCAGCATCATGAACTTGCAAAGCTGGTTTCTCCACTCTGACCTCCCCCCCCCCGCCCTGTTTTCTGGGAGAGGCCCCTTGGAGGACAAAGGGGGCTGTCTACTGGGGGGTGCTGGGGGGGAGGACCCCAGCCCGCCTCTGCCAGGGAGCAGGGAGAGTCAGGACAAAGGGCGGGGGCAGCTCACGCGAAGGGCAGGAGCCAGATCGCTCACCCTGGGGTACCTAACGGGGCAGCCGCTTGAGGCAAGACCTCCACCAGCTCGGGGGGGGGGGGAATACGCCCAAGGAGGAGGACAGACAAGGTAAGATCCTCCCGCCAAGGGCTGGGATGATATCTTGCAGGAATCCTCAGAAGGGAACCCGGTGTGCCCCCTCTCCTACCCCTCTGCCCAGGGAAGCCTCTGCGCTGAATGGCCAAACTCTGGGATGCCTTTGCTGGGTGGGCAGGCTGAGGAGGAGGAGGACCCGGGGACGGTCAGGCTGTGCTCCTTGTCACTGTCCCTCCCCCTTCAAAGTGAGGATCCTCCACCAGCAGGAAGGAGGGTGTCCCAGATGGAGGCTTAGGAGACCCTTCTGGGGTGGGGGAGGGATGGGGAGAGCAGGAGCTGGCCAGCAGTGGGGAAGAGAGCCTCGCCCCAGCTGGAGAGCTGCGCTTCCCCTGCTCCAAAAGGTCCGGGGGGGGGAGGCTTGCCACTGCGCCCCCCTTTGCCTTGCTAAGGATAGGAGATCCGCCGGCAGACAGCCGAAGGTGGGGGGGAGTGCTTGGTGACAAGAGCCGGCGGGCGGAAGGGAGGCCCTCGTGTCCCGGGATGGAGCCCCGATCCCACCACTCAGCTTGGAACTGCCGGGGTCCGGCTGCGCCCCCGCACCCCAGTCTCCCGCCAGGCGCTGACGGGGGGGGGGCTCGCGGTGGAGCCGATGTGCGGGGAAAAGGCTGGGCTGTCCGAGCGAGCCTACCTCGCGGGGTGAGCGTTGTGGGCCAAGGCTGGAAGGGGAAAGCCCCGGCCCGGTAGGAGCGTCTGAGGACGGGGGAAGGGAGCTCGACCGGGTTCTAAGTAAACAAACGCCTCCTGTCGGGCAGCGTTCCTGCGGGTGAGGCGCAGGCGGAGGCGGAGGTCATTCAGTCGGGCCGCCCGCCCCCAGAGCGATTCCCGCCGCCGGGACCGGGAGGGCGGAGCGGCGCGGGCGCTCGGCTGCCGACTCCTCCGCGGCGCCCCAGCCCGCGGCTACCTGCTCCTTGCGCTTCTGCCAGCGGCCGCAGGGGCTCTCCTCCAGCACCTCGCTTTCGTCCTCGCTCTCCTCCTGCGCAGCCGCGCGCGCCGGGTCCGTCTCCGCGCTCCCCGACATGTTTCCCGGCGCCGAGCAGGGCCGGGCAGCGGAGGACGAGGGCCCGCTCGCCGCTGCTCCCGGGAGGCCTCTGGGCGCCGAGCCACCGCGCCTCTTTGCCTCGCGGTCCCCGCTGCGCAGCGCAGCGCAGCCGGGCGTCACCACGGGGCGGCGCGGAGGACCGCCCGCCTCCGCCGCCTCCCGAGCCGATTCGGCCCTGCCTCGGTGGCCAGGCTCGGGCCCGCCGACCCCCGGCCTTGAGGCGCCTGACGGCCGACTTCCCCTGCCCCGGCGGGGGGCTCCGGTGTTTAGGGGCTGGTTGTGGTGAAGGCGAGGAGCCCTCTTAGAGAGGAGCCTCACCCTTCCCTTTAGTGTGGGCTGGGGTCTCTGCTCAGACCTGGCCTCTTCCGCTGGCCTACAAGGGACTCTGTTGGGGTCCTGGGCTTGTCCCCAAAAGGTTGGCAGGAGGGCAGACGGGCGCTGGGCAGCCAGTCCCTCGTGAGAGAGGAGAGAAGCCGTCTCAAGGTCACCTCTCCAGGCCTGAGGAAACCCACCCACTTTCCTCTGGTGTATGCAGGGCGTTTGCTTGAGGCAGGAGCCCAGCCGATGACCTAAAGCGCTCCTTCTGCAGGAGCGCTCCTTCCAAGGCAATTGGACACTGGCCAGTTTTGCCACCCCCAACCGCTCATCCCGCAGAAGGCAGCGCAGGGCACCCTGGCAAGCACCCTTCGTGGACGGGGAGGGGGCTGGTCCTGTGTGGCAAGAACAGCAGAGTGAACTGCAGAGAATTAAAGTAACTCTGCCAGCTCTGGTGGAAACATCTGAATCCAGCCCTTGCTAGATTGCTTATCTGAAGAGAAAGCCCCAATCCCACCCTGGCCTCCTGGCCTCTTTCCCAGGGGCAGCCCCTCCCCACAAACTCTCCTCCTGCCCTTCCCTCCTGATTTTGCCCTCCCCCCATTTGCAAATGCTTAATGACCCTAATTGGGCTGGTGACCCCAGTGCCAAGTGGAGCGGTTGTTAGGGGAAACATCACCCCACCAAGCTGACTTAACCAATGGCAGCTCCGGCAGTCCCAGTTTGGTTGTTAGCAAATCACCAGCAATCCTTAACTGAGGAATTGCAGGGGCACCCCCCCCCCCAGCTTCCCCCATTGATTTTGCAAATGGCGATCACCTGACTGTGGGGATGTTGCAACAAGTGTAAATGTCAGGATGAGTGGAAAGTCAATTTTTTCAGTGTTGTTATCACTTCACTAAATAAGCGGTTGTTACGTGAGAACTACCTGTAGCTCCTTGGCCTTCATCCAGGCCTGGGGACTCAAAGCTTAGCCAGAGGGCCCCTTCCCCCTTCCTGTGGTATTCAAATCAGCTTCCTCTGGATCCAAAGAGGTCTGGGTTATTTATTTATTTATTTAGCTAAACCCCACCTTTATTATTTTCATAAATAACTCAAGGCACTTTCCTCCTAATTTCCCCAGAAAACAACCCTGTGAGGTGAGTTGGGTTGAGAGAATATGAGTGGCCCACAATCACCCGGCGGGGTTTCATGCCAAAGGTGGGACTAAAACTCGCCACCTCCTGTTTTCTAGCCTGGTCGACCCTCCGCCTGCTTTCCCTCTCTCTCCTGCTGCTGGCCTCTCTGGGAGCCCTCTTGGCTGGATTTTGGCCCTCTTGCAGCTTAGCTCACCTCCCCCTTTGCCCTCCTGACCTTCTTCTGACCCTTCCCAGATGGTTCGGAGCTCCTCCTCCCTCTCCAATAAGCTCCTCCTTCTGTTTCTCCTCCTCCTCCTCTGCTTCCTCCTGGAATTGGCCTGGAGGCTGTGCTCTCCTTACCCTCCTTTGCAGGGAGGCTGTGCTGAGGCTCTGTCACCCTTGCGGTGGGTGCGTGAAGGTTTCGTTCCCCTGCTGTTTCTTGGGCTGTTAAAATCGGCCCTGCTGGTTTCTGCTTGACTCTTTTCACTGTGCTTTTGTTAAAATCGCGATCTCCTTGGAGTTGTGTGGCTGCTTCCACCCATTTTAGAGGGGACCAAATCCAAGTCATCCGATTCCTTTACTGCCCCACCTTCCTTTTTGGAAAACAAAATGATCCTCGCTACTCCAGAATTCCTCCGACTTCTCCTGACTTCCGGTTTGGATCTCTCTTTGAGAAGTTTGCTCTCCCTGCTTCTTATCCTGCCCTCAGGTGCTTTGGAGAATAAGTTTACAGACAGGTGAATCCATTCCGGACTGGGGGAGGGGGATGCCCGAGAGCACCTTCTGCCCCACCAGGAGCCTTCCTCTCACTAGGCCTGCCCTCTGCTGTGAGGGTGGCAGCTGTCCCAGGGCCTCTTGGCTCCCTCACCTGTTGCGCACACAAGATGCTTCCTCTGCACTTTGCTTGCCCTTTTATTAGTAGGAGTGAGTATTTCTGGTGGGGCAACATCCATTGGCAGCTATAAATGCAAGAGCAGCCCAACTCAATGGTGGGGGGAGGGGAGGAGGAAGTGGGGTGCAAAGGCAAGGAGAGGGGATGGAAGCGTCGGGCAGGTTGACCTTCCTCCCCATCCCTTCCTTCCACAACCATTATATGCCGGTATTCGCCGATTGCTTGGGCTGAAAGGTGGCAAATGGGGGGGACAGAAGCGGGACCCTACCCCACCCGACAGTAGCCTGTGTTTGGGAGCGGGCCACCGCGTCAGCATCGTGGCTCAGAAGGCAAACTGCCCCCGCCGCGAAGCTCCGCATCCAGCGCGGGTCGCGGGACAGACGGGTCGCGCTGGGTTGCCCCTCCCGAGTGAGGAGAAGGCGTCGCTCCTTCTCGCGCCCCGTTCCGGCTCCGCGCAGCGTCCATTTCTTTCGCAGCCGGGAGATGGGGGGGAGGGTGGAGCGGGGGCGGCTCAGCTATTCCCCCCCCCCGCCTTTCTGCGAATCCCGCGTGGGGCGAGCTGCCTGCCAGACGAACGTCGGGGAGCCTTTGAAGCCGCCCGGCCGGCCAGAAAATCCGCAGGCAGCGCGCTACGGGCGCTCGGGGGTCGCTTCTGCTGCTGGCCGCGAAGCTGGTCCGGGCGCGCTGACCCCGAATCCACCAGCCGGTCTTTTCCCCGATCGCATTATCGTTATTAGCATTGGCATTATTTTAATTTGGACTTGCCGCCGGACTCTTTAGGCATTCTTCACAAATGATTTAAACATGGCAATAAAAGCAACCATGAACAAAATCGGGCAGAGATGGCAGGACTACCATCTGGATGGAAAGAAATGAAAACAACGCGGTTCAAAGCACTAGCAGGTGGGGGCCTTCCAGATCCGAGGGGGGTGGAGGAACCTCACTCCGGAGAAGAGGCGGTGGGTTCAACAGAAGAGAAGAGAAGAGCTGACATGGGCTGCAAAGAGCCATGGGGAGTGGGGGGGGGGCAGAGGCTCAGGGTGGAAATTAAGACAGTGGAAGCCCATCTCTCTCTCTCTCTCTCTCTCTCTCTCTCTCTCTCTCTCTCTCTCTCTCTCTCTCTCTCGCTCTCTCTCTCTCTCTCTCTGGCTGAATGTGTGGGAGGAGCAGCCTGGGAGGGTCAGCTGACCAGAGAAATCCCAGGACAGGCTGCTGCTTTCAGGCTGACCAAGCTGGAGGATTGAGCAAGAAATATGAGGAGGCTGTCTGGATGCTGTGTGGTCAAGGGACGGTATGGCAGGTGCCCCGGGCGGCCCACCTGGGCCCAGGGCTTCTGAAGATGACCTCTTTCTTGACCTTCCCATCCCTTCTTCTATTCAGGAGCTGAAGAAGGTTGTTCTTTCACACAACAAGCACCCTGCAAGATAGGCCGAGTTTCTGTGGCTGAGGATAAAGTTGAACCCAACTGGGCCCAGCCCTGCCGTCCAACACCTTTGTGGGTAACGGATTAATCTGTGGTGGCTAAAACCCCGGAGGAGTTTGGTAGCTCCTTTTCTGAATCTCCCATTTTATTCAGATTGGCAGAAGCTTCCATAGACTAGCTCTCCTCTTAGAAAAGATTCGCCTAGACTCCTCCTGAGCGGAGGGAGGGCGGGGCCTCCTTCACTGCAGCGTTCAAGAAATTGCACTGAGATAGGCAGCCCGTACAAGGGGGGCGAGGGGGGAGGTAAGCATCAGTGAGGCTGATGGGAGGCCTGGGCTCCTTGACCACGCTCTGTCCCAAAGGTGCTTTTTTTCTGGAGGCAGCTGGACTTTGTTGGGTTTCTTCTGAAGATGTTTGGCTTCTCATCCAAGAAGCGAAACATCTTGGATGAGAAGTGAAACATCTTCAAAAGAAACCCAAGAAAGTCCAGCTGCCTCCAGGAAAAAAGCATCTTTGGGACAACCATGACCTGGAGGACGGAGAATCTCCGTGGACATTTGACCACGGTCTGGCCCATTGGCGCTGCTGCATGGTGGGCAGGATCCAGGCTGGGGCTGGTAGCGGGCCCCTCTCCAGCCCCGTACCAGACTGCTACCTGGGGGGCCTGGCTGATCTTTAACCCTCCTCCCCCCTCTTGATCGGCCCCCAAAGCAGGCTCCCTTCCTATTCTGCCCTTCCATGGAACCCCTCCCCCCTCCCTCCCTCCCTCGCCCCCTCCAGCTCCCTCCTGCTGGGGGTGAGCTCACTCTGTCGGCAGGCGAAGAGCAAGTCGGGCAGCATTAAGGGGTGCTGCACCTGCGGAAGAGCCACTCTCTGGGTGTGCCACTTTTCTGGAAATATCACCTCTGCCCTGCATGCTCTGGGGCCTTTGATGTGGGCCAGCCCCACCTCTTTCCTCGTTTCCTTGTTTTGCTGCTCTAATTGCAGCTGGGTGGGGGACCACCCAGGAATTCCTGGGCTGTGGCCGGGAAGCATCCAGGAAGCCGCAGTGGTCCCCAAGCTTCAGCGAGGCCGCCCTCAAGAATCGCACCCCCCCCTTGGACGTCCCCGTCCTTCCTTTTAGGGAGAGGGACTGGCCTCCTGCCTGGCCTAAGCATCCTCTGGGGCTGCTAGTCAGTTTCTTGCTGCGCCCAGTTCTTGCTGCTGACCTTCCCCCCCATAAAGAAACTCCTCACGAACCCTAAGCTAACTTACATTTCTGGGATGGTTCCCCCCCCCCCGGCTCCCAACCCCCTCCCTTCTCCTGAGGGTTGGTGATTTTCAGCAGAAATAGGCAGGAAGGTGGTTAAGAGGGGTGGATTGCACAGCCCGCTCCAACTGCTGCGGGGGGGGGGGGATTGCACGGCCCCCCCAACTG